GAAAAGAAGTCGCGCACAAATAGGTCAGTTTGATGCTTTTCGCACCAGGCCACAGGCACTCACAGAATAGGTCTATCAGTCGTATGTGGGCCTACAGGTGGCCGTCAATGGTCATCCTACGGTCAAAAATGGCAAAATGGTGACATTTTTTTGCGGTTGCGTAGCGTCGTCAGTTTTGCTGACCTGCCCCTCTCTCTCGGCACCTGTGTAGCCCACTCAAGGGTGCACCAGATCCATGTGTTGGATGGGCCGGGCCTTACCCACAGAGCGAACCACGGGCCTGCAGAGATGACCCTCACATACAGAGGGGAGGGAGGGGGTCAGTCAGACGGACCTCACAGAGCACCGCTCGACGGCTGTGCGTGTCGGGCTGGATGCCCTGGTCAATAAGCTGATGGTCGGAAATCTCCCGGAGACTCAATCGTGGCTGCGCTGCACATGGTCACGACACCCCATGCACAGAACGATGTCTGGGAGTGCACGCCAAGGCGCCGTTTCGCAGCGGCCAGCTGCAGCATAGCAAAGCCTTCATCGAGAGCAATCCTCTGGCACCCGAATGAGCCTCCGGGTCTTGGCACAGCACGCCATCTCGACCTGCACACACAGACAGACACGGACACAGAGAGAGATGTGTCAGCTTGTTTGATATTCTGGCTGCTCCTGACTGCGTGTATGGCCTTCCTGTGAGCCTCCCTCTCTGCGGAGATCTGCCGCGGTTTGGGCGCGTGCCTTTCCCCAGCACGTCTGAGCTCGCAGGGCTGGAAACCCCACACCCTAAACCCTAATTATGATGTGTAGGGTTTGCGAATTTCGTGAATGCGGTTGGTGTGCAGGAGTGCGCAGCAGGCAGGCAGGCACCTTGCCACACACGGATGTGCGCAGGGGTGGGCTGTGTGTGCAGAGAGAGAGGGAGGGAGGGAGGGGGCGTGCACTGCGCATGTGCCTCTCTCCCTCTCTCTGTGTGTGTGTGTGTGTGTGTCGATGTGTGTGTCGATGTGTGTGTCGATGTGTGTGTGTGTGTTCATGCCTGCCTGCATGCCTTTCTTGCAGCGCTCCTGGCCCACTCATTCCAGACACGCAGACCTCGGTCGGATGGACCAGTCAGTCGTATGCCCGTGCAGACAGACAAACACACACACACCCTGCACAGCATCGTCCGTCGACACTCAAATCGCAGAGAGAGAAGACACTGTTTGTATGTGACCGACCGGGCTCACGCACTCATCCATCCATCCATCCATTGTGTGTGTGTCTAGCTGTACACATCTTGCCTCAACAATGTCCTCTCCACATGCACTGTGTCCATCCACTGCACCGCTCGCCCGCCCATCTCTATACACACCCGTCCATCCATCCACTCATCAATCAACCTCACGTACGTCTGCACACGAGCTGGTCACGACCTGCGTGCGTCATGCGAATGTCTGCTGGTTGCCCGCCACTGACAAGAGCCGCTGCAGCAACCGACGAGCCTGACATAGGCAGACAGAGAGGGCAAATCGATCCACCGTGGGCACGCGCGTGCGTGTGTCGGTGAGTGGCTTACCACCTCCTCCTCGTTGCACGGCACGAACTGCATCTGTGGGTGGAAGGTGACAGCCAACGACAGAGAGACCATATGCGACACCCTGGTGCTTTCAGCTGGTCGCTTTCTCGGCGACCCACGGACCTCAATGGCCATCTTTTTATGCTCCGGGTCGGGGGGATTGAACACTGCCGCCCACGCATTGCACCCACCCACACACCCAAGCGCGCACACACCACCACACACGCACACACGACACATAAATAAGGCCGTGTGCGTTGGGTACACTGTGTATGTGTATGTCGCGTACAGCAGTCCCTTTTCGTCTGTGGCGGTGAGAATGCGATGGAAGATGGGGTAGTAGTACTTGTCCAGGGCCGCCTCGCAGTCCCTCAGACGCTCAAGCATCTTGGTCTTGCGATCTGAACCAACACACAGACACAGACACACACACACACAGACACAACACATACACACACACACAGAGAGAGAGAGAGAGGGGGGGTGTGGAGGGTGTACCTTCGTACGTACCTTGGGGTAGCTTATTGATTGACTGCCCACCCACCGGGCGAAGTACTTTGTCAGAGAAAAGAAGTCGCGCACAAATAGGTCAGTTTGATGCTTTTCGCACCAGGCCACAGGCACTCACAGAATAGGTCTATCAGTCGTCTGTGGGCCTACAGGTGGCCGTCAATGGTCATCCTACGGTCAAA